TAGCATGTTTGTTTTTTAATTGCATTGGATCAGTTGGACGTGGCTGTGGTTACAAGAGGTAAAAACGATGTAAATACTGTTCATTTTTTTTACTGTTCGTTTTCTCACACAAACCGCTCGTTTCATGTCTTAGGCCATCAATGTGTACTTACATTTACGAGTCATTAAATCATGTTTAATTTGGACTTCTCTGTGAGGTGGTGGCCTTAGACCTCCATTATATGACTGACAGACAAGAACGGTTTGACCTAAAAATATCAAAATTGAAAATACTGCGGAAACAAAGACAACTACATCTTGGATGCCCTTGAGGTAAGCTAAAACATATCAAAAATTAATTTCAAAGTGAACTATCCCTTTAAGAAATAAATACCTGTCCGGTCAGATGTAATGCGGTGCTTGCGGCCAGCCCCCCTGCGAAACGCAAGTCCATTTATGCAACATTTTCTCTTCATTGAACTTCATTTACATAAGGGTGGGTGGCGAACAGAGGCAAACTAAGCACAGTACAGAGTCTTGAATTATTCCGAAAGAAAGTGGGAAGAATTATAGTGTGATGATAAAAGGTAAAAGGCAGCTCAACTGTTCCTTTCCCACTTCTGCCTGACCTTCTCAAATTCCTACACACAGACTACTGAGGGATTTATTGCTGTTGAAGTTTTACAGCATTTATCTGTATTTAAAGCTCTATTTACAGGCCCCTCTGCGAATCACCTACTGTCTTGTTTTTCCTCTCTCCAATCCATAGTTCTCATATCCAAATGGCTTTATTGGCATAACAAAAAGACAGACACACACGCGGCGATAGCTCTGCACTGGAAACGCTAATGGCCACATTAAATGAGACTATTATAGGATGGTGATAAAGTAATATCACTGGAGGAGACCATTCGGCATGATGATTGTTGCCGCATTAACGATGATGGTGATGGTGATGATGAGGAAGCATTGTTTTGCTTTTTAATAGCTTTCCATTCACATTTACTGCACAAAGGAGGTCTGTAATACCTGGAGACAGCTCTCCGTTAGCATTGCTATTCCTCTCGTTCCTGTTGCTTTTTCCTTTTTTTTTTTAAGCCAATCACCTGAGGTGTATATGCTAATGACTAATCACTGTGGAGCCACAGGAAATTATGTCATAACAATGCAAAAATCAATTTCTACAGCAGCCATATTGAGTGCAAGAATTTCTCAGTTCCTTCTACCTTTAATAACGTCTCTGGTCCGCACCTATTTGTGTCATTGGTTTGGCGTGACATTGCCGTGACAAAGTTCAACTTGTCCCTTCATTTTGTCCAAACCACATTGAATCCATTCACATCACATAAATCTCTGTTTTAGCTAACCGTTAAAACGCTTAGGCGTCTAAGCTAGGCGCTCTTGGCTAAATGCTAACACCATTTGAAACGAACATCAAAGTTTTAAAGCATCAATCAGCTCTCTCAGGCGATTAGAGGCTTTAAAAAACAAAAGATGGCGTTCACGGCGAAATGCGTCGGTTCTTAATTAGACTTCATATCCGCACAGATGATTTCATTCAGGATGTGAGAGCTAAAACATCTATTTTTAGTTTGTTAGTCACAACTGACTGATAGAGGCTCTTTGTGTGGGTGTTTGGAGATGTTTTCCTTTACATCACTGTCTCCCTGTCGCTGTCCTATTGGATCCTCATAATGCTCTGAACGAGTCATCTGAGCTATCATTCGCCTGCAGGATTGCTTTTTTTTTTTTTCCAGGGCTTAGACGAAGAACCCCATGGCAAGCACAAAAACTGCTTAGTCACTGAATTTTTTAGCTACATACAAACGTGGAGAAAACATTAATATTTGATGGGCTCTTTTTTATTTATTTCTAGTTTTCTGTCTCAAATGCAATGATCTGTGCTGGAAGCGTAATGCTTGTTTGTCTGCTTTACATTCAGACCTCCTGGGAATCCTTTCAGTCATCACCATTGTGAGCAAGACAAAATGCTGAAAATGAGATACTCACCCTCACGAGTAGATGCAAACCGGTTTGACTTTCTTTCGTCTGCAGAACACAGCTTTCTGTTGGTCAACACGGCCAATTCACGTGACCAACTTGAAATGAGTCGATTTTGCATCAGTGGGGTCCAAAACAACCTTTGAATTTCATTGTAGTAACAACTTCCCTCGGCCACTCGCTCTAACGTTAACCTATTTAAATATGCACTATTATTATGCACATATCGGTAACGCTTCCTTTTACAGTCCAGTTACCCATGTAAATACTATGTACTTATTTTAGTAACTACAATTACTGGGTAGTAACTAGTACTAACCCTGAACCTACCCCTGTTCCATGTACTTATCTTATATTAGCCTGTACTTTCTAAGTACTGTACTGTAAAATGAAGCTTTACCCACATATCCATGTTTGTGCAGAGCGTTGAAGCTAAAGTATTAAGCCTAGTTCACACTACATGATTTTAAAATGTCGGGCTGAACAGTGCGCCAGTTCACACTACATGACTTGCTCTCAGTGAAATCAGGAGTGTTCAAGTTGTTGAGCTGTTCACACCACACAACACAACGTGATTGATCCACAACAGGAGGTAACGCACTACACGAGTTGACAACGCACTACATAGAGATACAACCACGATTGGATGATAAGAGCAAATCATTTTTGACTCTTTAATGAGAGCCGTTTCAGTACTATGGTACGGTCTAAATCCTGAAAATAATCAAATAAATAACGAGTTGACAACAACTCGGTCACCCAACGATTCTATCTTGTCTACAAACCACGTTTTGTCACGAAAAACCACGCTGTAAAACGAACCAGAAAGGACGCGAAACCGCACGTTCGCCAATACCCAGCGAAGAAGAGAACACAACACGTGAATATGGACGTCAGACAGAAACTAGTGCTGCACACTGTTTGCGCGATGAAAAAAAAGCAAAAAAAAAGAGATAAACTAAGATTTACTTGGTGTCCTCAACCTATGCGTTGCTATGATTGGCTGTACTCATGACATCACTGAGGTTGAGTCGCACGACGGCTCTGGATATCTAGCAGGCTAGATATTTTTCTGGGCTCGGCGGCGCGTCTGTGAGCGTTTTCGCAGCGTTGTTGGCTCTTTCATACTAACAGATTGGCAAGCGTTCATCGTCCGCTAATCCCCCGCGATTTGCACGCGATAACACCCTGACCTGTCGGCGAACTCAACGATTTGCAAATCGGGCATAAATCGGGCTTAAAATCCTGTAGTGTGAACTTGGCTTTAGCTGGCGCTATCACCTTCATTTTCTCCTGATAACGGCCGTAAACACCGTTTAAGGCGGCTTCACACTGGCAGTTGAAATCAGCTCCGAAAGTCATTCATTTTCTATGGAGATTCGCAGACCGCATGCGGATGGGTCCGAAACAGGTCCGACCGAGTGTGGTGCGAAAAAAATCGTGTCCGTTGGTTATCCAGATGCGTTCAAAAAATTGAACTCTTGCGAAAAGCTACGGACGGTTCCTATCCGACAATTCGAGGGGAAGTTGAGCGTCGCTATTGTATTAATAAACAAACCTGAATTCTTAACTTTTAATAAAATATGAAAAATAATGATAAAAATAAGTAAAAAATAAGTTAAAGGGTTAGTTCACCCAAAAATGAAAATTAAGTCATTAATTACTCACCCCCATCCTTAGATTTCCACGACGCATGCGCGAGAATTGCGACCTGAAGTAGTGTAAGCAGATCGCAATTCTCGCGCATGCGTCGTGGAAATCTAAGGAAGTCTCGTTCTGGCCTACAAGGAAGAAAAGAAATAGTCGAATAAACTCGTTATTTTTGTTTGTTTTTTCGCACAAAAAGTATTCGCGTCGCTTGATAAACATATAGTTGAGCCACGGTAGTCACTTGGGATATTTAAACATTTTCTTCATTGACTTTCTGGGCCGTCAAGAGGCAGTCCCTTAGGAGCCAATGTGGTAGTTATACAGCTCTCAAATTTAATCAAAAATATCTTCATTTGTGTTCCGAAGACGAACGAAGGTCTTACGGGGTTGGTACAGCATGGGGGTGAGTAATTAATGACTTAATTTTCATTTTTGGGTGAACTAACCCTTTAAAATAACTTCTAACGTTATTAGGGCAGTTAATACAATTAAATTGTAGGCAGACATTGAACTATTGACATTATACCACTATAGCACATTTTGACGTGTCAACGTCCTGAGCGACTTTCCTCGCGCAGCAGGTTTCCTATAAATATTTCTATAACCCTCATCAGAGAGTTCACTGACAGAATCAACTTTTTTTAATCTCTCCGCCATTTTTGTTCTACCCACGTCCGACGCTTTTCACTGTGTCGTACAACGTCCGTTAGGGGCGTGTTGCGTATTACGGAGCTGATTTCAACTGCTAGTGTGAAGGAGGCGTTACTCTGTCATTATTGATCATACAGATAAGAGTAAAGGGACCAGAATGATAACTATAGCGATAACTATATTTGCGTCCACTCCAACGAACGATAACGGCCTGTTAATTATAAGCTCCCGCTCTGTGGTTTCAAAGTCATTGATCATGTTTTTTGCTTTTCTTGTCGCATTTACACAACTTTAACCAGCAGATGTCCTCAGCACGCTATGTTTTGAGTGAAACTAGTGTAATCAATCTAATAATCTAACAGTGGATTTAGCTGACGTAGTCAATATAGAGGAATAAGAACAACACTTCAAAGGAAGCAAGACAATGTTGTCGAAACGAGCGCTGGATACCCGAGGAGATACTTCTCACCGTTTCCGTTTATTCAGAGGGTATGAACGATTGCTTTCCATATCCATTTTAAATGAGCGACTACTAGTCGACTAGGAAAAAATCTGGAATGAGATGAGAGTAAAAGATGACAGGATTTGTATTTTTAGGTGAACTATCCCTTTAATCCAGGTTGCAGCATTCAACATGGTACAAGTTCATGTGGTTGACGTGTTATTTGGGAAATGAAGCTTTGATGACTAACCCTTACTCTTGTTGTTGTTGTTGACAGGACCAGCAATCATCTGCGTGACCTCTTGAACTGACCCCATGAGGACGGCTCAGGGAGATGGAACGTAACAGACTTTTCTCTCTTACTCTCTACTGCATATCCACGAAAACTCACCACGGCTGAGCACAACCTCAGCCCCTCGTCCACCCCAACCCTTCCACTGTCCCCCCATTCCTGTCCTCCCTTTTCTTGCTCCCTGAACGACCAAATCAAACAGGACCACTTTTTTTTAAATAGTTTAACTTTCCTTTGCCCTTCACGGGGTACCAAGCAAAGCGGACGTCAATAAACAAGCGAAGCGAAGAACAAGACAGTCATGTTTCCCCTCCGTGCCTGTAAGCGGGATTTGGGCCATGCCCGCAATTCGGAGGCCACCCGTGCAATTACTCTTCTCTGGTTGGCACTGTGGATCGCCTTGACTTCGTGCCAGCGCATTGATCCTGGCATCAAATATCCCACCGTCACCACAAACTATGGCAAATTGCGTGGGATTAAAAAAGATCTTAACAACGAGATCCTGGGTCCCGTGGAACAGTACCTGGGCATCCCCTATGCCACAGCGCCAATCGGAGACCGCCGCTTTCAGCCCCCAGAAGCTCCCGGGTCCTGGCAGGAAGTGCGTAACGCTACACAGTTCGCCCCTGTTTGCCCGCAGAACGTGCACGGCGTTTTGCCCGAGATAATGCTGCCTGTGTGGTTTACTGACAGCTTGGATGTGGCTGCCACCTACATTCAGAATCAGAGTGAAGACTGTCTCTACCTCAACATCTATGTGCCCACAGAGGACGGTGAGTGTCTGACACAACACGGCTAAGCATTATGGGTATGATAAAGTGCAACAGTTCCCGCCCACCTTTTCAGCGGCATTGGTTCCGGAAGTATTTTTTGCATGGGGATTTAAAAAAAAGTATTTGTTATTATAAGCCATGAACCAAACCAGCTATGAGGTAACCCACATTTACACACAAAAAAAGTTGACAAAAACAGCTTTAACGAGGGTAACATCTACACTCTTAGAAAAAAGGGTTCAATATATGAAGAATAGGGTTCTTTACTCAACTCCAAACGTTCTATGATGACAAGAAAGAACCCTTTTGGCACAAAGGTTCTTTATAGGCTATTATTCATTCATATATAACAATATCCTGCAACATTTTGTTGTTGTAATTAAATTATTGTTTATTAAACTGTTGTAGTAACTTTTAATCATGCTGATTTTTGGAGGAGAAAAACTGACGGCACTCTTCGTGTGATATTGATTAACTACATATTAAAATGATATAAATATATACATTTTCTAACCCCCATATCTTGAATTTTGTGATCGTTCACATGCATTCATAAATACATTTTAGGGTCTTGATGTTTGTCAATAATATGAAATATTTAATGCGGAAAGGAAAAAAACAAATGATAATGAATGAACCCAAAAGGTTCCATGTAGAACTTTTTTCCTGGTTTCAAAGAACTCTAAAGGGTTCTTATTATTGAACCGTTAAAAAGGGTTGTGTATAGAACCTTTCAGGGGTTCCAAATATGTAGCGCTGATAGAACCTTGGCTTTTAAGGTTCTATATAGAACCTTTTCTTCTAAGAGTGTATAGTCCCATTAGGCACTGTGGAATGAAAAAAACAAACAATAGACGCATATAAAACTATTGATTTTATATATATATATATATATATATAAACACAATAGGGGTGGCACGGTTCACAAAACCCACGGTTCGGTTTGTATCACGGTTTTAGGGTCACGGTTTTCGGTTCTGTACGGTTCTTGTTATTTTTTCTTTTAATCTTTAACACTCCAGAAATGTACTTCAGCATGTGATATATAGCTTAATTATCCACACTTTAGGATACAGTATTAAAAAATATATATGATATTCATGCAATCATGCACAAACTGAATTTGACTCTTTGACTTTAAGCACATTTTGGGACTATCTCAGAGGAAAGCTATAGGTGAGATTTAGATACAGCAAGAGAGAAGAAATTGACATGCTTTTTGTTTATTTGGCAAAAATAGGAGAATGTGTATCACACTATATCTACAAGAACTTGTGCATTTTTATCACATAAATCTTATTTACACAAAGAAATTAACTTTCATGTATCAACTGCTAACTTTTGAAGCTCTTACCAAAATTCTATCTTTTAAAAGAAAAAGAGAGGAACTCTTAAAACACTGTCTTTTAAATGTCAATATACATGAAACCTCATTGCCTATAGATAATTAAGCTATAGCAATAGCAAAGGCCATAAACATAAAGTGAAATTAAAATTCAACCTCAACACAAAAATAGTATCAACAATGCTTCTATTCCCAAAATGTGAGGGTACTTTTTTCCACTTAAAATTAAAGTGCAGGGTTTGGAAACGTATGACTGAAGCTCTTATCTATACATAAAGTGCCACAGTAGTTAAATTAAAATATCATAACATGAAATCCAAAATGTTCCCACACACCGGACTTATACCATAGACTTATACGACGCTGGCGCATCCTCCAACTCCCTCATCTCTCCCACTTGCCATTTCTCCGCGTGCCGTGACCGCGCTCCATACTCCACTTTTACTGGCTTGTTTATTAACTTGAACCGGCGCTGCACAGAGCGATCGGTAATGACATCAAATACCGCGAAAGTGATGAATGCATACGGAGCCGACTCGCGCTAGATTGATGTTATTCTCCGATCGCTCTGTGCAGCGCCGGTCCAAGTCGAACAAGTTTATGTTGCGCGAAAAGAAAACACACGTCACATACGGGCACGAGGTTACATTGCGCATGCGTCGAACCGTGAGACGCACACGCGCTCCGAACCGAGACAAGCGAACCGAACGGTTCGGGTGTTTTTTCATGTACCGTGCCACCCCTAAAACACAATATAGTTGTAAAATATGCACATAGTTGTTTGAGAGCGTACAGAGTCGATTATGACATTCGCCGTGCCCGTTTAAAGAGTTATTTTGTTTCGATTGTTTGATTGGTCGAGATTTTTTTACAGAATCATGGGTAATGTAGTTTTTTAAAAGATCACTGTAGTTCTAAAGGTTGTAAGTTATTATTTAAAAATCAGTTCCCCGATGGAGAATGAATGGGGGTTTGTACTTCCAGAACCCGACTGTTGCACTCTATACAGTAATGGATCCTACAGAATAGCATTGCATGGGGTGATTTATAGTACTACAATACTTAAATATAGATCACCCAAAAATGAAAAATGTCTTAACTCTTTACACTTTACTGTTGTTACAAAATTGTATGACTGACATTCTTCTCTGGAAAACAAAAGAAGATTTTAGTGTTGTTTTGTCCGTACAGTGAAGTCATTGGGGTCCTGTGTTGTTTTGGACCCCATTGACTTTCACTCTATGGATAGAAACATTGTTTGGAAAAAAGAAAGTCATACAGGTTTGAAACACTATAAATAATGACCGAATTTACATTTTTGTCTGAACTACCTCTTTAACACTACAAAGTGCCATACAGTGCAAATGTTGCGTTTGAACTACAGTGCACTTTTACTAGACCTTGACTAAGGACGTGTCCTTGCCTTCTACCCGTTATGATCAGTCCACTGCACTCTGGATCGGGACTTGTCAGGATTAGTTTACCCAATGATTCACTTTAAGAGTGAGGCCAGCTGGAAAGACTAAAGCGTTCTGGGAAATTACTTATGCTCCAGTATAAGGCATATACATTTACCACAAATTGCGGTAAATTGATGGAGTTCACAAATCAAATAAGTGACTGACTTTTTAGGCTAAACCCATCAACATGTTTTTTTTTTCTTCTCCTCTTCCAGTCCTTTTTTTTTTTTGGTCTTTTTTTTTTTCTTTTGAGAGAGAGCAAAGTGGACAGATACTCTCAGAGGATGGAACGAGCTGATTTCGAAGGAGGTGTTTTTCTCTCGCAATTAAGGCTCCAGCCGCCAAGTTGCCCAGAGAAACAAATTATTGACATCAGCAGTAATTTGCTATCTCAGAGCGCTTTTTTGCTTCTTTCCTCAGTTTTTACCTCTTCTGGTATCCAGTGTAGGTGTTTTACGTTTACAATGGTAATTGTCTTATTTAAGCAATTCTTTCAATGATGAAAGAGTGCTTTGTAATTTTCAAAAAGTCATCAAGCCTATTTCTTTACCTCAGTATGTTCACTACACGAACCAAAAGCATAAGGCCAGATTTGATAACGGATTTACTAATGACACAAAGTGAAACATTAGCGCTGATAAGGCGCTATTTTTTTATTGTATATGCATTTTATAGGAGTTTTCGTTTCAGACGCAAAATTTATGGGAATTTATTACGCTATTTGAACCATTATGTTAGCCTAGAAATCTAGTGTGGTCTAGCAACTCTCCATAGAGTTGGTAAGTCCCGCCCATCCGTAAAACTCCAAGTGGACCTCTAGATTGAAAAAGCGTCAATGCAAGTGAATGAGAGAAAAAAATTATTTTCTGAATTGTGCCATGAATATGAACATACAGTATGTTGTCTGTGAATTTTTCATATATTTTCTCATGTAACGAGTTTGACAGTATATTGTATGATTCTTTGGCTAGCAGTTGTGGAATAGACATAACGAGAAAGACTACACGTCGCATATGTGACGTCGCCGCATAACACATTTTCCCTCCACAAATCACGCTGCGATAATCTAAGGAATTAGATCGAGATGCCTGTGTGTTTTGTACCCAAATGTCACCATTCAAACAATGGTTTGTTTAGCGGGATCCATGTGCTGGTGGTGGTGACGTATATCAAACGCGTCGAAAGCAGCGAAGAGCTGTAGTCCACAAAGTGTTCTCACACAAAGTCTAACCGTATGAAAATTCTACCCGCTAAATTGTAGCATTCTTTACACGAAAAATTATATAAAAAATTCACAGACAACATATGTTCGCATTCATTGCAAAACTCAAACGGGATTAGAAAATATTTAATTTCTCTCATTCACTTGCATTGACGATTTTTCAACCTAGAGGTCCAGCGGGGTTAGTGGAAGGGGCGGGACTTACCAGATCTATAGACGTTTTAGCTGGAAAAAAACAAACTCTGATCAGGCCAATCACATCGTGCAGAGTCGGCGGGCGAGTTGCAACGGTTCACTGCTACTTGAAGCTGTCTTTCGATTCGACTTTGACCGCTACTTTGAAACCAGAACAAAGAATGGCACTTGAGTCTTTTTTTTTTTTTTAAAGATGTGTTCAGAGTTTTGCCGACTGGATACGGTAAAAGTTTAATACATCAACTTGCTCCACTGGTGGGAAAACGCATGGGACTCAGTCGTCACCTTCTTCGTTGCTCTGATTGGTTGTAGCGCTATCCAATTGCGTGCGGGAGCGTTTATCCCGCCCCTCGGATTGAGCCCTGTCAACGATGAGTTCCTAGACCTAACATATTGACGTATGTCTGGCATGCCTGTCTATTTCACCCAAAATAAAAATTACTGTGTGAGAAAAAAAATTCAAATTTTCAGAGTTTTAGTGTCAGTACTACATTAAACTACTACACTCTAAAAAATGCTGGGTTGTTTCAACCCAAATTTGGCTCAAATATGGACAAGCCCAAATGTTGGCTTAAAAATGCAATGAAAAAAAATGTACGGTTGAAAGTGAAAGTAAAAGTTAGGTTAAAATTTTAAATTCAAATTTTAACCCAACATTTGGGTTTGTCCATATTTAACAACAACCCAGCATTGTTTAGAGTGTATATATAATGTTGAATATACACTCTAATTGTTTTAACCCAAATTTGGGTCAAATATGGACAAACCCAAATGTTGG